TGGCATCCACTTCAATATAAAGGCTTGCAGTTTATCATTCTTAATAGCTGAATAATACTCCATTGTGTAAAAATACCACATCTTTTTCAACCATTCCACAGGTGATGGGCATCTTGGTCGTTTCCAAGATTTGGCTGTATTGTGATATATTTTAAAGAATATAAGCATTTGCCATATATTTTGATCATCTCATATTCACATGATTAAAATGAATATAAATAGTACCATACTATACAACTTGCTAATTTAACATTATTTTAAAGATTTTTTCTGTTGATGCACAGAATAGATCCGATTTATTATAATTGTCGTACAGCGTTCTATTGTATGAATAAGTGAGATTTTTTTCATAATGATGTTCATACATTCTAATATTTATCAAACCTTAAAATTCCTCCAGACTGATAGGTAAGAATTGGAGTTTCATATTTAATTTGTGTTTCTTTATTACTAGTGATGCGGAACATCTTTTCAGATTTTGGGTTCTATTTGTCTTCTAGGGGATTTTAACATATTTTGTGTAATTTTCTATTGTATTTTGGTAGTTTTCAATTTTAGCTTTCTGGAACAAGACCTTGTGTGTGCTCTGGATAGTAAGCCTTTGTATGTGCCATGTAGTTTTGGCCCAGCATGTTGCTCGTCTTTTAACTTGCATGAGCTATCTTTTGTATTCAGACACATTTTTATGTAGATGAGTTTACTTGTGAGGGATTTTTCTCCCTTTTTGATGCGTGATGTTCTTACATAAACAGTCTTGGGTTTTATTTTTTGAATGTCCATGTGTGGTAGGGAAGGAATTTAAGTTAGCATTTTTTTTCCCTCATACAAAACTAGGGGGCCCAAACCCACTCTTTGAATAGTTAGCTTTATTTTTTTTCCCCTGAGTAATAAATAGCTCTTTGTTTGATACCATATTGTCACATATGCTTAGGTTTTATTCAGGGCTCTCTGCTTTCATCTCAGTTTGTCAGTAAGTTGAAATATCTGGTAGGCCACTTTCCTCCTGCTGATCAAAATAGGCTTTAGCATTCTTAATTTTGTCAGCTTGTTTAGTGTCATGGAATAGTATCACCTTGTCAAATTCTGTGGAAAACCTTGTAAGTAGCATTGAATTTAGAGATTTGATTTAGGAAGAATTGGCTCCTCTTTTCTTCCCCTCTTCTTTTCTTCCTTCTAACTTTTAAGCTCTTTGTCAAGAAAAGGAGTTCTTACAAGATGGTTACTGGTAGTTTTGTTGTTTAAAACTGAGTCTATGTAGTTCAGGCTGGCCTTGAACTCACTAGGTAGCATAGGCCGGCCCCAGGCTTGTGGCAGTCCTCCTGACTCAGCCTCCTGACTGCTGGGATTATTTACAGGCATGTGCTGCGCTCCTGGTGGGTACTTGTTTCATATGAGAAAATAACTTGATTTGAGGAGAGTGGGTTTGAGGTTAGTGATGCAAATGTTAACATAAAAAATTTTAAAGGAAACAACCCTTGTGTCCAGTGAACAACACACCACAGTGTCACTTTATGACTGCTCTTCATTTTCAACACTAGACTGCTTTAGAACTTACAGTCTTTATTTTCATTAAAAATACAGAACTCTAAATGGAATATTTAATGTAGCTCATTAATCTGTCAATTTTTAAACTTCTCAGTTCACACAAAAGATGTTGGACAACTTCTACAACTTTGCCTCATCCTTTGCCGTCTCTCAGGCCCAGATGACACCAAGCCCATCTGAAATGTTCATTCCAGCAAATGTGGTTCTGAAGTGGTAGGAGGCATTTTCTTCCCTCAAATATTAAGACTTTTAGTGATTGTATGTGTATTTTGTTTGTGAATATCTTCTAAGTTTCAATGAAAACTAGACTGTGTAAGGGACCTGAGGGAGGGCATACGGCGCCCTCAACCCGGATGAGAATGCATCTGTTGCCCTCCCTTCTTCATGTTTTGTTTTCTAGGTGTTTTTTTCATTTTGAAAATCAGGTGGTGGGGGATGCTAAGGACCTTTTTGTTGAGAAGTGTAGCAGGGAGCTTGAGGGGTTGTCTTAGGTTTTATCACAGAGTAGCTGTAACAAGGAAGTTATTCTCATGCACTCATCCGTGGAATGAGAAAGGAATTTGCGCCTCCCAGGCCCTTTCTATCATTGTAATTTGCAGAAGATAAATAATTATTAAATATTCATATGATGTGGGTTCTCCAAAAACTAATCAGAATTGTTCTTATATGTAACCTGCTGTACTTTTTATCTTTGTTAGTAATTAAATTTCTAGATTAGTTTTTTTACCTTAGTTTTTAAAAAATCACATGTAAATCACTTGTTTTTGAGATATCCTTTTATAGATTGTGATTATTTTGGAGATAAGTCCTTCTATAGATTGTGAAAGATCTTATTTCAACTTTCATGTAAATGTATGTTTTTTCTTTTCTAGGTATGAAAATTTTCAAAGACGACTAGCACAGAACCCTCTCTTTTGGAAAACATAATTTGAATAAAATAATTTTTAATGTATTTGGAGATTTGTCGTGTTTTAAAGATAAATGACTGCATTTAAAAGCAAGAAGTCAAATGGATCATGAAGTCTAAGTTTAAAACAATGTGAAACTCATTGAAATCTTTATTAAAAATTTAAAAGTATTGAAAAATAAAAATATGTTCATTATTAATGATTTTTCCATCATAAGTTTAAAATTATTCAGAGACCAACTTTGTTTTTGCTGTTATCCATTCATTTTTTTACTTAAAGCCTTGTCACACTAATGCTTAAGGCAGTTACATGTGTAGTTTTTCACTTATTTTCATGGTAGTTTGCCAGGGTAGTTAATGTTAAACCCACATCTCAAAATTTGAAATTTTGAGAAGTTTTCAAATATATACTTTCAGATGTGAAAAAATTGCTTTTAGGAGTATTTCTTATGGTTAAGGAGGTTTTTCAACGAAGATAGGTTGACTGCCAGTGTCCAGTTGCACTTCTGTTTAATACGATTGCTGTGATTACTAGTACTCACATTGTTAAGATTTGGTAGACTCACTGTGTTTTGCAAGTTGTATGTTTTGTTGACACTGTTTTCAGTTTCCCCCAAAATGGAAGGCTAGACTATTGTCCTCCGGAGCAATGATGAATTCACTTGTGTATTGCTATCTGCTGGTTACAGTTGTGCATCAGGTTCTCAGTGGCTGATGATTACCTGCAGGTCTTGTTAATGGATTGTCACTGTGGAATTGTGACTTGACAGTGGCTACACAGCAGCATTTAATGCTCTGGACAGAAAGCACCCGTCATTTGTAACACAGTTAACAGAAGCAAAACGATTGTTGTTATAAACAGAGTATGTATGTACCTCACCGACTTAAGATTACTGGCCTAGGTTATGAAAACATGTCCCCTTGTTCAGTCTATTTTATATAGCCACATAACTACTTATAACCTAGTCAAAATCTGTTCCACCTGTCCATTGACTTTTTTTCTTTTTTTTTTTTTTTTAATATAGAAGTACAACAGGTAGCATTAACTAAACAAACAGACCTTGGCTGGCTAAGAGGAATGGAAGATTGTGATCATCCGTGACAGGCCTAGATAGTGTATAAACCAGTTTGTTGGCCTTTTAGAGCAGATGGGGAGAGTCAGACTTGGACTGTCTTTTTTCTAGCTGTACCGATAGTGTTTTGCACAGTATGAATAAAGAGTTATCACTTGGAGCTCTGAAGTTGCCTTTATTTGCTTTATTATGGAGCTGTGTGGTTATCCTTCTCTGGGAAACAGACTGAACAGCAAGTTTCTCTCTTTTTTTTTTAATGTTATCGTGTTGGGGTTGAACATAGGACCTCATGCACTCCGTCAGTGTTCTACATGCCCTGAGACAGGGTTTCATTGTGTTGCCCACGTTGTCCTTGAACTCATGATCCTCCTCACTCAGCCTCATGAATAATGGATTGTGTGCGCACCCAGCTCAAGAAAAAAGTTTTAAGAATTTGAAAATCTTTTTTAACGATTTTTTTTTTTTTTTAATTTTGAGACAGGGTTTTGCTATGTAGTTGAGGCTGGCCTTGAACTCACAGTGTAGCCCAGACAGGCCTCCAATTCATGGCAATCCTGCCTCAGCCTCTCCAGTGCTAGGACTGCAGATGTACACCACCAAACCCATCTTAACAGGTTTTTTTTGTTAAGTTTATTGGTGCATTCTAGGTGTACATAATGTTTACATTCATCAGAGAGTTTGTACTTGTATGTGACAACTTGATTTGTTTTTCATTCCTCTACCCTTTAACCCCTCTTCCCCCTTCTTATTACAAAAGCTTTGTTTCTATTTTTTCATCTTTTTTTTTTTCCCCTTTCCCTCTCCCATCTCTCCAGTCCCCCATCCCATTTGAACATTTTCTTCCTATTTTACAATATCCATTATACATTTTGGCCCGTAACACTTGATTTTTATGGTTTTTTTTTTTTTCTTTAATTTTTCTGTATTTTAGGGAAGGGTCTATAGGGTGTTTAGGGTCTCACTATTAGATCAGACTTGTAAGTGATTCTGTTTACAGTCTCCCAAGAGCTGGGGTTACAGGCTTGTGTCACCACGCCCAGTGTCAGTTGCCACCTCAGCGTGCCTGGGATTGAACCCCAGGCGCCTGCGCCTGCTGGCAGGCACTTTAATCCATTGAGCTTTTTGGTTGGCCCAACACTTGGTTTTTCACACCAGAGAAAAAAAATGAATGCACGCTGCATCCCAGGCAGCTCTCATTGGTCCTGGGGGAAAATGGTGAGGGGATTTAGAAGATAAAGACAGGAAAGCTGAGGTCAGGTGGAACCATCTCTCCTGATGAAAGAAGAGGAATAGAGCCATCATCATGGGGCATTTACTTATACTTTGGACTCAGTGTCACACATACGGGTTGCCTAGGGACTGATGACAGATTGTCTCAGGTGAGATGTTTTTCTCAAGTCTGAGGTAGCTTGATTGCTTTAGGCACTTTGACTTTGTCCCCACACATGACCAATTTCCAGCTTTAGCTGTTCCCTACAGCATATGTTTGGTAACAGTTTTGTATAGAATGGAGGTGAAAGCCAGGTGTTGACATAAGAAATTCCTCATGGGTTACAGAGAATATTGGGAGTATAAACACCATTTATCTTTGATACACCAATCTACGTACATACCTCATTATAGTAGCCCAAATTAAAATTGTACACAAATTTGTATATGACTGCTAATAGAATTATTCAGATGAGCACAAAAGTGGAAACCTGTCCACACAATGGGGTATTACTAGCAATAAAACAATAGAGTAAAAAGATGCTGTCACGTGGATAAAATCTTGAAAATGTGTAATAAGTATAATGGAAAAGATTAACAATAACTAATACGGTAATTATGACAATATTAACATTTTTTTAAAAAGGTATAGTAAGCATAAAAAAGTAATCGCAAAAAAAGGACACACGCTGTTGACTCCACTTACATAAAATATCCAGAAAAGATAATTCAGAGACAAAGAGATTAGTTGTTTAAGGGTATTTGGAGTTAAGAGGTGATTAACTACTTCTGTGTATGAGGTTTTTAAAAAAAGTTTGATTGAGAAACATCAATGAGACAGTTTCAAAACTGATTAATAGGACAGTTTCAATAATTAATACATTGTATATTGTTATCTTCTTAGTGGTTATCCATAGTACAAGATGCAGACAGAATATCCTGTCCAAACACTATTAGTACAAATCTTCTCATTGAATTAAAAACAATAGGGGTTTTTTTTTTTTTTTTTTCTGGAACGAGGGATTGAACTCAGGCCCTTGTGCTTGCCAGGCAAGCGCCTATTCTACTGAGCTATCTCCCTGGCCCCCTATGAGGCTTTTATGGGAAATGAAAATAATTAAAATTTTGATGCTTGTACAGCTACTAAAAACGCATGAACCATATGGTATGAAATTAGATGTTTTTTACGAGTTTGGTGGTTCAAAGCAGATCTGGATACAAGAATGAAAGATACAGGAATGTAAAAATTAAGAATTCTTTGGCCACTTGGTGATTATAAGGCTAAAGTGAGACTTGCTGTAACGACCTAAAGACGGTGGTTCTGGGGGTTCTCTCCAGTGCAATGGTAAGCTGTGAGAAATCAATGCATAGTAGCCCAAAGTGGAAGAACTTACTCCCCTCTGGGAGGTGATATCGTACGTACAAGAACCAGAAAGCAGTGATTAATAGAACCTAGTAGAGATGTTGAAATGGGTTTACAAGTTCGATACTGTAGTTTGGATCGTAAACATCCTCCAAGAGCCTAGTTGCTAAAGGGTTGGTGGCCAGCCTGTGGCGCCTTCGGAAGGAGATGGAACCTTTGGGGAACGGGGCTCGTGGAAGGAAGCTGGACTTTTGGGGTGTGCGCTTGGGGAGGGACACTGACCCCTGGCCCCTCCTCGCCTGGCTGCCACGAGGCAAGCAGGCCGCACATGCCCACGCAACGTGCTTAGACACCATGGACTGAAAGCTCTAATTCTGTGCGCCAAAATAAACTTTTCTCCTTTTTAGTTTTATCTCAGGCACTTTGTCCTAATAGAAGTTAGCTCATCCGTGTGTGTTTCTCATCACCTATCACACATAATCCTGGAGTGTGTACAGAGCTAGCTTCTTGTAAGGACAAAATACCTGAGATAAAATAATAAAATTGGGTGCATATGTCATCAAAACTATGAAAATACAGAATACATAATTATGTTTCTCACCTAAAATTGCTAATAAAATTTCTTAATACCCCTTTATTGTTTTGATCAGGAAGTTATAGCAGAAAGTGCCCCTCCCAGCTGGTCAGTACACTTCAGTTCGTTAGTTGCCCACGTAATAGTTCCTGTTCGAGATCTGGTTGGTCCTATGGATTTGGATCAGACAGCTGGCCACTGTGATGCACAGCAGGTTACTGAGATGAGCCCTGTATAAAGCATCCCCCAGCTGACAAGCCATTGAGCCTCTACTTCCTGCCTGCTTGTCCAGTATAGGCCGTAGAGACCACCAGAGGTCAGAGCCTGATTTTCTGGGAATGACCCTTTTCAGTGTTCCTTGGTGTAAATCTGCCTCTGAATCCTGAGTGTTTTGGTGTTTCTGTTCACTCTTGCAAGTTTTTTCAAAAGTGGCTTAGCTGAGTATAGTAGCCCATTTCTGTAATTGAAGCTGCTCTGGTGGCCAAGACAGGAGGATCCCAAGTTGAAGGCCAGCCTGGGCAACTTGGTGAATTCTTCTGTCAAAAATTTAAAAAGGGGCTGGGGAGATAGCTCAGTAGCTTAAGCAGCTGCCTGGCAAGTGCAAGGTCCTGAATTCAATACCCAGCACCAGAAAAATAAATAAAAAGGGCCAGGTTGTAGCTCAGTGATACAGTACTTGCATGCCTAGCATGTGTTAGGCCCTGTTTCCACTCAATAGCTTAGAAGCATTGCAGATGGTTTATTGGACAAAGATGATAAATATTTGTTGATTTTTTTTTTTCCTAGTATACTGAAAGCAGGTAATGGCTAAGACTTTTTTTGCCT